GAGGGATGGGGAAAGCCCCAGGGCTCACACTAATCATCACTCATGTTGCCCGGAGGACTTTGATCCTTGGGATTTTTTCAAGCTCTCCAGCAGTGGCTCCACGGCTCAGATGGGGGTGGGAGCAGAGTGAAAAGCCCTCGCCCCGATCAGGGATGGACTGGGGAGGCATTAGCAGGGCGAGCTGGGGGGATTAACAGCCTGCTCTCCCAAAAAGCATCCGTGCACATTCCCAGCCACCACCAGATGCAATGAGAAAAACTACCAGCCTGCCCAGGGGAAAATCCCCTACCCCAGGGATCAGAGCTGGTTACAGGGGGATACCCCATTCTGTGTCACCTGGACTCCCCTGGCCACAGCATCAGCCCCAGGTGGGTGACACTTGTGTTGCCACCTCTCAGCAGAAGGTCTGGCCTTTTCACACGCAGTGCCTGAGCCCCGATCCCTGGGGAGGGGACAGCCCCCGGCGGTGGCACAGCCGCCGCGGCATTTACCGTTCATCTCACAGCCGATAAGCTCGAAGCGGAGGGTGCAGGCCCGGCGACACATCACGGGGTAGATGCGGATGAACTGGGCTGTGATGGGAGGGTTGAACATGTTGGTCTGCATCATGCCGTAATCCACGTTTCCCGGGAAAACCTGCAACAGCAAACAAGGCTGAGCGCCCACGGGCATCCCGCGGCCTTGCACGGACAAACCCCTTGCCCTCTAGATGGACAAGCTTCGAGCAAGGGCCAGGCAGCCTGGGCTCTCATGTTGTGCCCTGAAGGCGTGCATGAACTCACTGCAGCCCCAACACCCTCGTCCCAGCTGTGCAATGCTCCGTGCTTTTCCTCACCACATGCAGCCGTGCGCAGAGCAACTTCTATGCCCTCCTGCTACGGCCACGCTCCCCAAGCCGTGACTGATGCAAAAAACAGAGACGCGGTTCGCTTTCTTGTTTCTTATGCAACAGAGTGAGGATACAGGCAGGTCATGTTCTCATGATTTTTTTCCAAAACTGCATAGCAAGAAACATTTTGTTTTTTTGAAAGGAGGACAGATTTCCCCAGACATTCTCCAAACGCACATAAACAACCCAGGAGACACTTGCAATAAAAAAGTGAGGTTGGAAAGAGCTGCATTTAATGACACTACACTCAAACTGGGGGCAAGATATGCTACAGCCTCACAGCTGTATTGGGTACAGATACAACACAGAGCCAGACACGTCCTTCACCAGCAATTTCAGACCATGCCCAACTCCTACAATGCCTCAGCTATAAAGATGTTATCTCAATGACCTAAATAAATCAGCGCCGCTTTTTTGGTTGCGCTTATTATGGTCAATTAAACAGAGGCAGAGAACACTGCCTGGCGCTGGAACTGTCCACATTGTCACAGTGTCATATGGTCCCTGACATGCCTTTGACCCAGGTCAGAAGTTCTCTCCCAAACACGGGCACAGTCCAGGACTGGGCATACAGCTCCCCCCAGCGCACACCCCTCTCCAGGAGCGCGGGCGTCACCCCATGGGGGACAGGGCTTTCCCTGCCTCCGGGACAGACACTAGCCCTGACATGCCCAAATTACCAGCAGGAACAAAATCAGGAGAGTCTGAGCATGTTTTTTCACCAGGTCCAAAAGGTCTCCACTCCTGCATGGGCAGTGCTAGTGTTTTAAGGCATATGAGGAAGGGGCAGTGAAGGGTGAGCGCTGCACTTCCCAGGCTGGAGAGGCACGGAGCTCAGCTCTGGCATGCAGAGCCTGCCAGGAATAACAGCAGCAAACGCAGCAGGAGCTGCCACCATCGAGGACACTGTGTCACAGCCCAGCCAGGGCTTTTGTGTGTCAGTGCTCACTGCAGTGACACTCCTAGGGTTGAGCAATTCCAGGCAAGGCACATCCCATGCTCAGGTCCCAGCTGGGATAGGGACACGGCCTCCCTCCCACCCCAAGCCAGCGCGGCCTCCTGCACGGCCCACCTTGTCCGTGTCCTGCTTTTCATCCTTGAGGAAGGTGAACTCCCGTCCATCCAGGCTGTAGGCCACTTTGAAGGCACGGACGTACTCTGCCTGGCCCACGCGGCGAGCACCTTGTGTGATGATCCCGCTCAGCCTCATCTTCCTCAGCAGGTTGGCCTGGGGGTGAGAGCAGGAGCAGGGCATGGTGAGGATAGGGGTGGCCAGCACCCTGTGAGCACAACCCTGCACCCCATGCTGCTGAATGTGGCTGGAATCACGCGACTCGTGGTGAGCATTGGGCCCAGGAAAGGGGTTGCCTCCATGGCCTTCACCTCTTTGACCTCTGATCCTGGTATCGAGCCTGAGAAGGGAGGAAGACACGGGGTCCCTAACTCCCTCCAGGGATGTCACCTGCTCCAGGGATGTCAACATCCCCAGGTGACATCACCAGCATACAGCAAGAGGGGATGCCATCCAGGGGCAGGACATCTCCACAGCACAGTACGGAGATTCAGCCCTTCCTTTACTACTAAAGCAGAGTGATCCCACAAGAACAGCACCGGCAAAGCGGGCAGCGGCTGATCGAGCTGCCTGCTTTGCCAGTGCTCCCAGCGCTCCTGCGGGTACCTGGATCCACGGGTTCTTGTCGTAGTTGCTGGAGGTCCAGGCGTTGACGATGCCATGGTTGTTGAGGCGGGCGAGCTCCGGGCCCCAGCGCTGCAGGCCGAGGAAGCCGTAGTGGACGGAGGAGGCCGAGAGTTGAGCATCAGAGATGGCCCTGCCTTCCATGCCCAGGAGAACTGCACAGCCTGGAGCGATGGGTGAGGGAAGGCAGAGCCGGGACGTGAGCATCAGAGGGTGAAAACAACGAGGGAGTAAAATCGGGGGGGGAATTGGCCGCTCGCCCAGGACTGACTCACTCTCCCCACAAAAAACTCCTCTTGTCTGAGGCAGGGTGTGAAATGGAGGACAACGCTAGGGCCTCCCTCATGTATCTTGTTGCTCATAGCACAAAATGCCAGGTGTTTCCCAGCCTGCAGCCGAAAATCACATAATCAATCAGCACCTCTCACAGCATGGAGGTCTGAAGGAGGGAAAGGGCTGCTCTGTGGCCTTGGAAAGAACACGGTTCCTTCCTGGTGATGCTCTCTCCTGCACACCAAAGCTCACAGGCATCAGGGTATGGCCAGCACACAGATACCTGCAGCTGCCTTCAGCTGGCTTTGCCTTCCAGATCTATGCCCACATTGGTGGAAATGGGCAGGATGGTGGGCAACAGAGCGAAAGGCATCTCTCTACACAATCGGTGCCAGTTACTTACGGACATGGCAGGTCTTCCCCAAGAACGGAGAAGGGCATTTGCAGGTGTAGTCACCATCCAGGTCTAGGCAGGTGCCTCCATTTTTGCAAGGCTGGGAGTAGCACTCGTTCTTATCTAGGAGCAGAAACAGAAGCTGGGCTTAGGAAGAGACCCCAGAGCCAGTGCCCAGCGAAGAGAACCCTTGCCCAGTCCCGCAGGAGGAGGAGAAAGGCAGCTCCTGGGCAAGGGCCATAGCAGGGTCCTTGCTGGCACAGTGGCACTAAGAGTAGACCTGCAGGGCCTGTAGAGTCTACAGAGTAGACCAAAAGTGTCAGGACTCTGGCTTCCTCCCTGCTGGCCCCTTGCATCCTGCTGTACTCACTGTTTTGGCAGTGCACCCCATCGTAGCCTGCGGGGCACTTGCAGACGTAGTCAGTGAAGACATCCCCCCGGTTAGGGACCAACTGGCACTCGCCATTGTTGTGGCAAGGATTGGGATGGCAGGGGCCTGGGAAAAAGAAATAAAAAGGCAGATGCAGCGGTACTGTATCTGGAAAATAAGAGCATGCAGTGGGTCCTCACTCCCAAGGATGGGACACAGATGACAATGCAGGTCACCGTGTCCCTGCAGCAGGGCTGCACCCCCAGGCCAGCCATGCAGACCACTGCAAGGGCACGTTACCATATTACAAGGCTTATGGATGTAGCGCCTGCCTGTACTTCCCTGAGCCACTGCTGATATCTACCCTGTGATGGGGGATCCAGGTCCCTCCCCTGCACCTCACCTTTCTCGGTCTCATTACAGTCAATCCCAACATAGCCTTCAGGACAGATGCAGAAGAAGGGGGTCTCATTAATGCCAGTCAGGCAGGTGCCCCCATTCTGACAGTGGTTGACATCGCAGAAGTCACCTGGAACCAAAGCAACATGTCACTGCAAGCCATCGTGAAAGCAGCATCTGCCCCAGCAGGAAAGGTCCAGCCTGGCCTGGCTGCATTTGCTCCTCCCCAGGGATGTCTCAAGACAGGCAGTGCCCAGGGGCCAGGCAGGACGGGCCGGCAGAGTCACGCAGAGGATTGCAGGTGTGCAAGGGTTGAGACGGGGAGCATGGAGCACGGGCAGGAGCTGCCCTGCCCCGGCCTCGCAACCTGCCTCCCCACCTCTGCCACGCGCTGCCTCTGCTGGGGCCATGGAAATGCCCAGGATCACCCCTGCTGGCTTGGGAAGTATGGATTTGGTGGAGTCTGGACATCGGGCCAAACTCCAGGGAGGTTCCAGGTCTTTCAGTGCAGTTTTTGGTGCTCTTTGGGGAAGCAGGGGCTGGGCAGGCTGGGGCACACTCAGGCGCGAGCAGCGCAGGATTATTGCAGGGAGCCAGGCTGGTCACATTGCTGGGTTTTGCTGAGGAAACTATTTGCAGGGAGACAAGAAAAACATTGTAAGAGGAATCCACGTGCCTTGGCTCCAAGATTCTGGAGACAGGAAAGGAGCACAGGCTCTACACGTGCAGAGATGCTGCCCTGACTCAGGAAAACCTCTACAACCCCCTGAACATGTCCTGTCTCACTCAGTTGCCACATGCACAAGGAATGTCCCGGTAGGGGCTTGCAGGGAGGGATCCATTTCCTGGTGGGACCTGTCTGCCCAGTGCTCTAATATTCTCTAAGCAACTTCCATGAAGCAAAGTCCACAGGGCAGGTTCCCCCATGCAGCTGGTGGGCCTGGGGCTGGTATGTCTCCCATCTATGCAGGGAGACATGCCTCCCATCCATCTCCACAGTCAAGGGTGGATTCTCTCATAAACCTTCTGCTCCCTCCTTCAGTGCTGACCCAGACTGTAAGAAATTCCTCCTACCACCAATTTATTCTACCCAGACAGCTGCAGGATGGCAAAACCTTCTCCGTAAGCTGAGCCCAGCTCCCCTGCAGACCTGTCTCACCGAGCCCTGGGACTGCTCATCTCCTGATGTCAGGTTCTTCTCTGCTATGCTGGAGGAGTCAGAGCAAGGGCTGAACCCAGGTGGAGACCCACAAATAACTCCCCATGACCTGCATGCCCTGCAGAAGGTGGAAGTTAATGAGCTGCGGGCTGGCTGCCCGGACCCACACCAAACAGCGTGGCTCTCGTCAGCCTAAGCTACTACTCAGAAAGCTCCTACTCATTAGTCTTTTAATAGCAGGGCTCCTTCAAGTTAATCCTCCTCTTCCTGACGCTCTATATCTGTAGGGTATGCACCGGTGGTAGACAGCCCAGGCAGGGCCCCCTGCTAAATGAGCATTCCCAAAAAGATGCTGGAGCTCCCTCAGCCCAGCCTGAGGAGGCAGAAAAACTTGGGCACGAGTTCAAGCTGCTGCCTGTGCTGCCCAGCCTGTTCTGCATGACCTCATGCTCCATCAATGCGCTGCCATGAGCTACCGCACGGGAGGAGCGAGCTCGTGCCGATAACGCGGGCAGGCCTCGGCCCCACACTCCTCCACAGGTCCCGGGCGCATCCAGCGGCTCCATCCCAAGGCTCCCGGCCAAGGCCCTGCACACAGAGCTGCTTCTGTTGAGCAGCAGGAGCCAGATGCTCCCCGGGACACGAAGGATGAGCAGACGTGAGCTCCCCGGCATCCCTACTACACTGCTCCTAGCGCAGGGGTTTCTTTGGCACATGGAGGCAAAGGAGGATGGGCTGCAGATCCTGCCACGCTTCTTCCCAGGATTGGCACAGCAGCGGTACCTGTATGAGTTTTACATTTTCTTTGTCTCAAGGAACTGAGCTCCTTCTTATCCCAACCCAGGAATAATATCCTGTGCGGTGGGTCTCAGTAGCCAGTCCCATGTCTAGCAGCAAGGCACACGGGTCACATTCCACTGTGGCAAGTAGCTTTGGATGCTCCCGTTTTCTTGGATGTTTTGGGGCCTGTTGTCAGAGCAGTTCGGCATCTCCATGCTCTCCCCACACACACTTCTCTGGTCAAGGACAGAGCTGTCACAGGCCGGACAGTGAGAAACCAAGGCAAAAAGCAGCCACCGGTTTTGGAAATGTTTGCTTATATGAACCCATAGACTGGCTGGAAGGCAAAAATAACATCCGCTGAAAAAGGATCAGGGCGCATCCCAGCGGGGCTGGGGGAGGTCAGGTCAGGCCTGTCTCTGTGGGGCAAAATGGGAACCTCTCCCCACAGAGAGCAGACCCAAACAGAGCCTTCCTCCCTGCACACCTCCTCAGTGCCCTTTGTCCCTTGGCCCCGAGCCTGCACTTGGGCTTTGTCTCCTTTTCCTTGCTCCCTCTTGTCCCTTTTGGGGTGACCCCCAGGTCCCCCAGTCCGTGGGATGATGGAGCCCCTGAACTCTCCCGGGGCTCCCTCAGCCAAGGCAGCTCTGGGTGCTGGCGTGCTGTGCCAGCACATCCCGGGGGAGGCTGTTTACATCTTGGCCTGGGTTATCTAAGCCTGGAAGCACGAGACAGCCTGGCCAAGCTATTCCCGGCTTGCGAGCAAGGACAGGCAGCTCCAGGTTGCCCCGTGCTGTGCAGCGGGCTCCTGCAGGACAGCGCTGGTGGCCACGCTCGCCCCTGCCCTG